GGGAGTGGAGAATGGCTCCTCTGGCCTAGGGGAGGGGCAGGGAGTAGAGAGGCCAACAGCTGCCAGAGGAGGCTCTTCTAGAATGAGGGAGGGATCTTGTAGCTCAGGGCGTACCAGCTTCCATTGATTTCCCACTGCACCAAGATTAAAATCCAAACCGCATCCTCAGCTCCTACCTCCCCCCATCACCCACCCAGTTCCAGCACCTCTATCATCCTTCTGTTAATTGAACACATCAAGCCCACCTCAGGGCCTTTGCAGGTGCTGGACCTGCCTCAGGGCCTTTGCACTGCTGTGTGTGCTCTGCTCCCAGATTTACCATGCTAAGCTTCTTCCATCAGTTTTCACTTCAAGTGTCTCCTTCCCCAATTGCAGGGTCTAAAGTAGCCCTCCATTATAGCCCCTGGACACCCTTATAGCTCAGTAATGAAGTCACTCTTGAGGTTCACCCTTCAGCCAAAGATTAGACAGACCCATAAAACAAAATGAGACTAAATGGGCACACCAGCCCAGGGGCAAGGACTATAAGGCAGGAGGACAGGAAAGCTGGTAATGGGGAACCCAAGGTCAAGAAGGGGAGAGTGTTGACATGTCGCGGGGTTGGCTACCAATGTCACCAAACAATATGTATATTAATTGTTTAATGAGAAACTAGTTTGCTCTGTAAACCTTAATCTAAAGTACAAGTTTAAAAAGTTAAAAATAAATAAAGTAGCCCTCTGTGTTCCCATTATGTCACCGTATTTATTTGCTGCAGAGCTCTTTCTGCAATCTGGAAAGGTATCATTTATTTGCGGGTTTCCATGTTTCTTGTCTGCCTCCCGTCTCAGACTGTGGGCTCCGGGAAGACTGGGAATCCATCTGGCTTGTTCACCACTGCGTCCCCCGCCCCTCCAAGAGGACCTGACACATCGAAGGTGCTCATTTAGTGAATCTGCTGAATAGATGAATGAATGAATGGATGAACCAATGAATGTTCCACAGCTTCTCGGGGCTGAGCATGGCGGGAACTTCTGACGCTGGTGGGAACTAGTGGGCGTGCAGGTGTGTGCATCAGGGAAGGCTTCCTGGAGGAGGTGGCATCGAGCCGGGATGTGCAGGGTGAGGAGGAGCCAGCCACATGCAGAGAGGCAGGGAGAGTATTCCAGGCAGAGGGAACAGCATGTGCAAAGGTCCTGAGAGAGGAGCCAAAGAAAAACAAAAGCCAGTGTGTGGACGGAGTGGAGTGAGCTTGTTGGGAGGTGAGGGGCCGAGGTCAGTAGTGGCAAATTATGTAGGGCTTCTGGGCCCGGTGAGGAGCTGGGGTTCTAGTCTGAGTGTGCTGGGCAGCCACGGGAGAGTTTGATTGTGACTGGTTTCATGGTGTCAAATGTTCTCTGTGGCTGACGGCAGCAGAGGGGCTGCTAGTGGCAGGGGACAAGGTGGCAGGGAGGGGGCGGGGGCAGCATACAGGTGGGAGATGGTGGTGGCCTGAGCCAGGGTGGGTGTCCTGGGGCTGGAGAGAAAAGTGGATATTCAGGATATGTTTTAGAAGGTCACTTGCTGACGGTTTGGAGGTGGAGAGTGAGAAGAAGAGACATGTTGTGGTTTGTGTCCCCTGGAAGCAGTTGTTGTTGGTTGTCATGGAGTTAATTCCAACTCGTGGCAACCCCATGTGTTACAGAGTAGAACTGCTCCATAGAGTTTTCTAGGCTGTAATCTTAATACCACTGCGGGGGTCAAACCGCCAACCTTTAGGTTAGTTAAAAAAAAAAAAAAATCATTGCCAGCCAGTCAGTTCCTACTCATAGCAACCTTATAGCAACTGGGTAGATCAGAGGTCAGCGAACTATGGCCCACAGACCACATCCAGCCTACCATCTGTTTTTGCACGACCCCTGAGCTGAGTTTGGGTTTTATATCTCTGAATGACTGAAATATCAAAAGAAGAATAATATTTTGTGATATGTGAAAATGGATGAAATTCACATTTCCATGTCCATAAATAAAGTTTTTGGTAGCTCTGGGTGGTGCAAACAGCTAACTCCCTCAGCTGCTAACCAAAAGGTTGGAAATTCAAGTCCACCCAGAGGTGCCCCAGAAGAAAGACCCGGTGATCTACTTCTATAAGATTACAGCCATTGAAAACCCTATGGAGCACAGTTCTATTTTGAGACACATGGGGTCACCATGACTTGGTTTTCTTTTTTTTTTTCAAATAAAGTTTTACTGGAACACATCCGTGCTCATCCATTTACACGTCATCTGTGGCTGCTTTCGCGCTATAAGGCAGAGCTGACTTGTTGTGGCAGGGACCATCTGACCCAGAAAGCTGAAAATATTTACTACCTGGCCCTTTACAGAAAAAAATTTCCAGCCCCTGGTTGGCGGTTCAAACTCACCCAGCAGTGCTGTGGAAGAAAGGCCTGGCAATCTGCTTCTGCAAAAACTACAGCCAAGAAAACCCTATGGAGCAGTTCTACTCTGTAACACATGGGGTCACTATGAGTTGGAGTTGACTTGACAGCAAAGGGTTTGGTTTATTGGTTTGGTCTAGAAAATGGAGCTGTTTACTAAGACGGGAAAGATGGGCATGGGATCAGTTTTGCGGGTTTGTATAGGATGCTTCCCAGGCTCAGTGAGTCAGGGGGACCCAGGTTCCAGTCTCCAGGCCAGACGCAGAGGCTCAGCGGGCAGGCTGACCTCAGTCTCACTGGCCCCTCCTTCTAGGCCTCCCTAAAGCCGGTCCTGCTCCGCTGGCCTAAGGAAAGGAAGCCTTCAGCAGAGATGGATGGAGCATCCCCGGAGAACACCGCCTCCTCCTGCCCCACGAAAACCCCTTTCCAGGTCACCTGCCGGAAACTCTGGAAGAGCCTCAAGACACTCCCCCAAACGGGCAAGAGGGTCCAGCAGCAGCTGAAATCCCACCTGGCGGCTGTGAGCTTGCCATTGCTCTGGGATACTAGGTGGTCCGCGGCAACCCACGGCTCGGGTGCCAGGGCAAGTAGCCATGAGGATGCGGGTGGTGCGAACTGGGAGGACAACGCCTATCCTGACGCCTTTGAGAGAGCCCAGGCACCCCACAGACCCCCCAGAGACAGAAATGCCTTTTCCAGAGAGGCCTTTACGTCAGTCAGCTGGAACGGAGTTTCCGCAGAGGACAGGGGTCTGCACCGAGTAGTAGTGAGGTCCCCATCAGAGCAGGTACCCAAGCAGGAGACGAGGGGCTTGGTGGAGCCCCAAGACTGGCTCCCTGAGGAATACCGCCCACCACCACCGTTTGCCCCTGGATACTGCTAGAGAAGGGTCTGCCTGGCTCCGGGACCCTTGTGCCAGGGGTGCCCACCCTTGGACCCCCTTGCTCACTGCCACTGTACCATGCCAGCCCGCAGGAAACCTGGGAATAAAATAAAGACATTTCTTGGATCTGGTCTGGCACCTGCAAATGACCTGGTTATTTTAATCATCATCAGAGTAGCAGCAGTGGTGTGGGGCGCCTACTGTTTGCCTGGCCTCTGAGTTTGTTAATGCTTTTATGCAGAGGAGCAGGCCCACCAGGTAAGCCCATTCTCTGCATTTTTGAAGGGAGACTGAGGCTCGGGGAGGAGAAGAGGTGTGCTCAGTCCGAGCTTCTTCCACACCTTGTCTGTTTTCTGGTCCAAAACCACACAGCAAGAACCCTTGCCAGCTGGGGCTGCACCGGGGCTCAACGCCGAGTATGTCTGAACCTGTAAATGGGCCCTTCTTCTCAGATCCTGTGCAGGCAAAAGAGGTGAAGTGTGTCGACTGCTTTGCGCATCATTAATGTCGGTATTAGGAGACGCATAAGAGCCCCTTTCATTTAACAAGGGAGGAGGCAGCAGTATTGCGTGGGGACAGGCTCTGGAAGGAATCCATATCATGGTGCTGTGTGACCTTTGGGGAGGTGCTGGACCTCTCTGTGCCTCCGTTTCCTCGTCTTGGAGAAATTGGTGATAAGAGTAGTCCTTCCTTTGCAGGATGAACTGACAGGATATGTGGAAAACCTGGGGCTTTGGTACACAGGAGGTGTTACAGATTGAATTGTGTCCCCCAAAAAGACGTGTTGAAGTCCTAACCCCTGTACCTATGAATGTGACCCTGTCTGAAAATAAGGTTTTCCTTTTGTTATGTTAATGAAGTCATACCATAGTTAGGTGGGTCCTATACCTAATCCCTTCTGAGTGGTGTCCTGTGAAAAGGGAAAACAGAGAGACATACACACACAGAGGGGGACGTGTGACAAAGAAGGCAGATGCATCTATAAGGAGCAAAGGTAAGCCAAGGATTGCAGTGGCCACCAGACACTAGGAGAGAGGCCCACGGAAGGAATTGATTTGGACGTTTAGCCTCTAGAGCTGTGAGACAACAATTCCTGTTGCTTAAAGCCACTCACTCATATTTCGATATGGCAGCCGTACCAGCTTAAAACAAACCAAAACCAAACCCATTGCCATTGAGTGGACTCCAACTCATGGTGACTCTGTGTGTTACAGAGTAGAACTGAGCACTATAGAGTTTTCTTGGCTGTAATTTTTATGGAAGCAGATTGCCAGCCCATTCTTCCATGGTGCCCACTGGATGGGTTTGAACCGCCAACCTTTGAGTTAGAAGTGGCACACAAGCCGTTTCTGCCACCCAGGGAATTGGGAAACTAAGACAGTAGGTATTTAGTAAAATAAGATAGTTAGTGCTTAATATATGAGGGTAGGGTGAGAGAGAGCATTCTAGAAATGGCACGTAGTAGGAGTGTCTGGGAAGGTCCCTGGGGGCTGGTCTCAGCTGCAGAAAAGACCATTTCTCTGACCGGCTGGAACCATACACAGGACTCCCAGGGTGATTGTCGTGGATTGAATCGTGTCCCCCTGTGATGGTTAAGATCGTGTGTCAACTTGGCTGGGCCATGATTCTCCATGTTTTAATGTAATCACTCCCATGATTGAATATACTGTGAGTAGCCAATCAGATGAAAGGGAATCTCCTTGGGGGTGTGGCCCGAATTTGTATATAAGCAAACGTTCTTGCTTTTTGCTCTCTCTGGATCCTGCGGCTGCTTCCTGTCGTCTCATCTCCCGTTCTTGGGAATTGAGCTGTCAGCTTATCTGCCGAACCTCGGATTTGTCAATCTGCACAGCCTGTGAGTGGGAGCCCTGCTCTCCGACCTTCCGATCTTGGGCTTGCCAGCTTCTGCAGCTGTGTGACTTGGGAGAGGCCTCTACCCTGATCCACGGACTTGGGATGTTCTAGCCTCTACAATCACGTGAGCTGTTTCCTTGATATAATCTCTGTCTCTCTATATATATATTTGTACACTTTACTGGTTTTGCTTCTCTAGAGAACCCAGCCTAAGACACCCCCCCATAAATGTGTGTATCAGTTTGGCTAGGCCATGATTCCCAGTGTTGTGTGGTTGTCCTCCATTCTATGATTGTAATTTTACATTAAAGAGGATTAGGGTGGGATTGTAACACCACCTTAACCCAGGTCACATCCCTGATCCAATGTAAAGGGAGTTTCCCTGGGGTGTGGCCTGCACCACCTGTTATCTCTCAAGAGATAAAAGGAAAGGGAAGCAAGCAGAGAGTTGGGGACCTCATACCACCAAGAAAGAAGCACCAGGAGCAGAGCGCGTCCTTTGGACCCGAGGATCCTGTGCAGAGAAGCTCCTAGTCCGGGGTAAGACTGATGATGACGAGGACCTTCCTCCAGAGCTGACAGAGAGAGAAAGCCTTCCCCTGGAGCTGACGCCCTGAATTTGGACCTCTAGCCTACTAGACTGTGAGAAAATAAATTTCTCTTTGTGAAAGCCATCCACTTGTGGTATTTCTGTTAGAGCAGCACTAGATGACTATGACAGAATTTGGTACCAGGAGTGGGGTGCTGCTTGAACAGATACTTAAAATGTGGAAGCAGTTTTGAAACCGTGAATGGATAGAGAAGTGGCAGTGGCAGAGGACCAGGAACAGCAGAGAACCTGCAGTGGCAGAGAAGCAGCAGCAGCAGAGAATCAACAGCAGCAGAACCAGGAGACCAGTGCAAGATGGCACTGGCGCGGACCCACAGAGCGAGAGAGCCGAGTGCCTTTGCACCAGAGGCTTCCTGGCAGAGTGGGATGCCTCCAGGCACTAATCGGTAGAGCTAGGCTTGCTGACCCACAGAGCAAGGGAGCTGACTGCATGTGTGCAGGAGGCTTCCTGGTGGAGTGGGGTGCTTCCAGGCACTTATTGGTGGAGCTACCCAGCTTCGGAACACTTGCCGCAGCAGGGCTTGAGGCCCGAGGGCCAAGAGGCCACAGGAAGCAGAAGCTGAAGAGAGAAGGAACACAAGAAGCTGAGCTGCCTCAGTCTCAAAAGGTATGGCCATGACCTCAGGGGTTTCAAAGGGTGGAGCCATGGCCTCTGGTGTTTCTAAGGGTGGAGTTGTCACTTGGATGGACTAGGAGAATGATGTGCCTGAAGCCAAGGGAGCAGAGTTGCCATCCCAGTGGGCCTGGAAGGTAGAGCTGAAGCCCAGGGCTGAGGGTCCTCCACTCAGAATCTGGAGAGTGTGGTCAATACCTGCAGTCTGGAGGGCAGGGCCATTGTGTAAATTGTCTCAGAGGACAGAGGCTTATTTTCAAAACCTTGAGGGCTAATGTAATGTGTTCTGCTGACTTACTTGGTGCCTGTTATCCCTTCTTTCCCTCCAGTTTCTCCCATTTGTAGTGGAAATGTCTAGCTTGCACCTGTTCTGCCATTGTGCTTTGGAAGCAGATAACTTGTATTCTAGATTTCACAGATGAGGAATTTTCAGATTTTTGACTTGGAGTTAAGATTTTTGCTATGATATGATGAGATGAATATGTTTTGCATGTTGCAAGGATGTGACTTTTTGAGGGCCAAAGGGTGGAATGTCATGAATTGAATTGTGTCCCCCAAAAAATATGTGTATCAGTTTGGCTAGGCCATGTTTCCCAGTGTTGTGTGGTTGTCCTCTATTTTGTGATTGTAATTTTACATTAAAGAGGATTAGGGTGGGATTGTAACACCACCCTAACCCAGGTCACATCCCTGATCCAATGTAAAGGGAGTTTCCCTGGGGTGTGGCCTGCACCACCTTTTATCTCTTGTAAGAGATGAAAGGAAAGGGAAGCAAGTGGAGAGTGAGGAACCTCATACCACCAAGAAAGCAGTCCTTTGGACCTGAGGTTCCTGTGCTGAGATGCTCCCAGACCAAGGAAAGACTGACGCATCACAAGGACCTTTCTCCAGAGCCAACACAGAATGAAAGCCTTCTCCTCAAGCTGATGCCCTGAGTTTGAACTTGTAGCCTACTGGACTGTGAGAGAATAAACTTCTTGTTAAAACCACCCACTTGTGGTATTTCTGTTGGAGCAGCACTAGATGCATAAGACAGTGATCATGGGTGGAGTAGGTGTTGGGCTTCCCAAATTCACAAGGTGTAGGGCTCTTGGGTGGTGCAAGTGTTTGCATTCAACAACTAACCAACAGGTTGTCAGTTCAAACCCATCCAGCAGTGCTGCAGAAGAAAGGCCTGATGATCTACTTCCATAAATATTACAGCCAAGAAAATCCTATGGAGCTCAGTTTTACTCTGTAACACGTGGGGTCGCCGTGAGTTGGAGTCCACTTGAGGGCAACAGGTTTGGTTTGGGTTTAGTGGTCTGGGATCTGGAGCGAGGTGGGCCTAGATTCAAGTCCTGCTGCTGCAAATGACTTGTAGTGTGGCCTTGGGCGTGCCTGCCCCTCCCTCCAACCCTGCAGGATGTCATAGATATAGATTCTTCATAAACTGTGAAGTGCGGTGCCCATCTCAGGGAATGACATTCCCACCACTTCTGCAGAGACCTCCCCTGGCAGCTCAAGTGAATCAGTATAGAGTAAAGGTTTTGGTCTCGTTTGGAGGGGCTCAAGGATTGAGAGAAAAGAAAGAGGGGGCTCAGACTTTTGGGGGTGGGGTTCCAGCCTTGAGGGGTCCGGGGGGGAGGACAGTGTGACCCTGAATCTTAGTGCTTCATCTGTCTCCACAGAGACTCGCAGCCAGGCTCTTCCAACCCTCACAGTGGAGCGATACCTAGAAGTAATACGCCCAGCCCTTTCCTTTTACGTATGTGGTGATCATGGACCAGAGAATGTATGTCCACACACAGGGTCACACAGTGAGGGCAGGGCTGAGAATCCAAGCTCCTCCTTCCCGCCCACCAGGTTGAGTCCTCGCAGCAGGTGTGACTCAGTGACACGTTTATTCCTGAAGCCCAGAAACCAGAGTCCACTGTGGGGTGGGGGCACCCCACCCTTGTTGGCCCGGCCTCTCCTCCAGCCCCTCTCAGATTCGAATGTGGAAGGTGCTGCATGCAAAGAGAACAGCAGTCAGAGTCTCAGGCAGAGCAACCCCCACTCGCCCTCCTCCCCAACACTCCTGCCAAGGGTCCCCAAGGCAGCAGGAAGCTGCATGGGGCGATGGGAGATGAATCCCTCAAGGAGCCCCAGCCTGAGACCCTCCCAACCCCACAGGGGTGCAGAGCACAATTTTTGGGTCAGCGTTGGCATCACAGCTCCGCCCCAGAATTGCTGTGGGACTCTGAGCAAGTGGCTCTCCCTCTCTGGGCCTCAGTTTACTCCTCTGTAGAAGGGGGATAGCAGCTGTTCCTCCTTCACAGGGCTGTGATGAGGGCTGAGGGGAAAAGGCATAGGGCAGACACGGAAGGCACCCGTCAGTGGTAGGGACTTTCTCCTGCTATCATGAGTTGTGGAGTCCCTGGGTCATGCAAATGGTGAACACGCTTGGCTGCTAACCAAAAGGTTGGAGGTTTGAGTCCACCCAGAAGTACCTTGGAAGAAAGGCCTGGCAATCTACTTCTGAAACATCAGCCATTGAAAATCTATGGAGCACACTTCTACTCTGACAGATGGGGTCACCATGAGTCAAGGTTGACTCAATGGCAACTAGTGTTTTTTTTTTTTCCCCCGGCACATGCACAGGGCATACCAATAATAATAGCAACAACAGTAATGAGAGTACACACTTATTGAGCACCTACGGTGTGTCAGGCACTGCTTTAAATTATTTCCATGTGTTAACTCAGAGGTCAGCAAATTTTTCTGTAAAGAGCCAGGTAGTAAATGCTTTTGGCTCTGCGGGCCATATGGTCTCTGTTGCAAGTGCTCAGCTCTGAGCGAATGGAGGAACTTTCACAAACAGAGCTCATGAACTGTCTCTGCACATATGGAAGGGGACCTGGGCTGGGGCAGCACCTGAGAAAGTCAGGTGCCCGCAGGATCATGTTCTGGAAGTCTTCCAGGGACAGCCTCCCATCGTGGTCCCCGTCAGCCTCATCCAGCACCTTCTCGCACACCAGGCTCACCTCCTCTGCGCTGAGCTCGCCCCGTGTCAGCCTGGTTACCGTCTGCTCCAGGTCCCAAGCGCAGATGGAGTCGTCATTGTTGAAGTCTGCAGGACAGGGCGGTGGGCGGTGGGCGGTGGGCAGGCTGAGCTGGTGCGGGCACATCTTATCCCATTTTGCAGAGGGGGAAATCGAGGCACAGGGAGGTCACCCAGGACCCTGGGTCTTGCTTTGGAATTAGCCAGGGACTGTTTAACAAGTATTTGTTGAGCGTCTACTATGTGCCAGGCACTGCAATGACTGTTTTCATTCATTCATTCATCCAGCAAGTATCTATCGAGCACCTACCTAATAGTGCCAGGCACTGCAGCAACTGTTTTTCATTCATTCATTCACTCAACAAGCATTTATTCATTCAATATGAATATCAATATCAATATGAGCACCTACTATGTGCCAGGCATTATGATGACTTTTTCTTTCATTCACTCACTCACTCATTCATTCACTCCACAAGTATTCATTCATCCCCACCTATTTATTGAGCACCTATTATGTGCCAGGCACTGTGATGACTGTTCTTTTCTTCTTTCATTCATTCATTAATTTATTCATTCATTCACTCACTAAGCATTAATTCATTCAGTAAGTATTTACTGAGTACCTACTATGTGCCAGGCACTGCAATAACTGTTTTTCATTTGTTCATCTGGTCAACAAATACTTATTGAGTTCCTGCTATGTGCCAGGCACAAGGGACAGATGGCGGACAAGACAGACACGTCACTGCCTTTGGGTCTCATCAGACAGAAAGTCGATAAGAAGTGAACAGATCAATGAACAAGCCATTAACCAGCCTTGCTCTGTGCCAAGAGAGAAATAGGATCAAGGAATGGAGCATGACTGGCACAGGGGCTACTTTTGACAGGGGGCACTGGAGAAGACCCTCTGAGGAGGGAGCATAGAGCCTTCAAGGACAAGAAGGGGCCAGGGCAAAGGTGTTCCAGGAAGAGGGCCCAGCAGAAGCAAAGGCCAGGAGGCAGGCACACTTTGGAGGCCAGTGTGGCTGGAATGGAGGGAGCGAGGGGTGAGGTCTGGAGGTACCAGGGTGGGGGTGGCGGGCAGGGGGGACACGTGATGGCAGAGCAGCCCCTTTTGCAGACCCAGCCTCATCCCACCCCTCCCCATGCTCCCTGCCCTGGAGGTCTTGCATGCACCATAAATCTTAAAAGCGTAGTAGGCTTTGAGGTCGCGGGGAGCCATCTCACTCATCACAGAGAACATGTCCAGGAAGTTGTCCAAAGTCATGTGTCCATCCCCATCCTCGGAGAAGACCTGGGCAATCCTCTGGCGGAAGGGGTTGTCCTGGGGATAGGAGTGAAACCAGGGTCTTCGAGGGCTCCACGTGGTCTCACTGTCAGCACCCACCTTCCCAGGAACCTCCACGTGTCTTCCACCAACTCTCACTCTCTCCCATGGTCCCTAGAGAGGACTGCAGGCAACTCCAACCTCCACTCATGTGGCCTGGGCAGTGTTGACCCACTTCTGGTTCCAGGGGTAGTAAAAAGACCCAGATGGAGGGCTGCTTTCTGATTTTTGCAGAGCTAGCAGAGGAAAGCATGGGTCACGGGGGGCTCCCCTTGCTATCCCAAGAGGAGAGGCTGACTAAAACTAAAGCCTCCTGGCAAGAAAGCAGACAAGAAGTGGAGGGAAATTTCTAAGCACAACATCAAGGCCCTGGTTCCAGCTGTACCTGAAGCTAGCCCTGCCCTGGATTATTTTTGTTCACTTAAGCCGATCTGTTCTGTCTCTCTTGAATGAGGTTTCTGTCACTTGTAATCAGATAATCCCTACTCAGTCAGTCACTCACCCTACAAGCCCCCTTCAGAGGCACAAATCATGGGTGAAACATCCACCTGAGAAAGATCTGCCTTTAACAGCTCCTACTATGAAAAGACCACCATCTGTCAGTCAGTTTATTGTACTGTGGTGGTTTGCATGTTGCTATGATGCTGGAAGTCATGCTACTGGTATTTCTAATACCAGAAGGGTCACCTATGATGGACAGGTTTCAGTAGAGCTTCCAAACTAAGACAGACTAGGAAGAAAGACATGGAGATCTGCTTCTCAAACTTAGCCAATGAAAACTCTGTGAATCACAGCAGACTGTTGTCCGACATATAGTACTGCAAGATGAACCTCCTAGGTTGGAAGGCACTCAAAATACACAGTGGCCGCAACAATGAACTCGAGCACGCCAACAATCGTGAAGATGGCACAGGATCAGGCAACATTTTGTTCTGTTGTGCATGGTGTCCCTATGAGTTGGGGGCTGACTCGATGGCAACTAACAACAACTATGAAAAGAAGAACCAATGTTCCCTGACCACTTGCCACGCAACACGCCCTTTGCCTGTGTTATCTCATTCCATCCTCCCAACAATCCTGGGTTTGAATCCTATCTCTGCCACTCTACACTGTGTGACTTTGAACAAATGTCTTAACCTCTCTGAGCCTCAGTGTCCACCTCTGTAAAATGGGGGGTAATTGTAGCACCCATCTCATAGGAATGTGTTATGGCACATCCCTACTATTTTTTTTCCCTGCCTGCCCCCTGGCCTGGGCATACCTTCAGCTCGGGCATGCTGCCAATGAGCTCATAGGGCACCTTCACATCGGGGTAGCTGGTATAGTCCAGAGGGACGAGCTGGGGAGCCAGGTCCTGGTAGCGATAGAAGAGCCTAGTGTTGGAGGGAAACACCAGCAAGGGCTGGAAGGTGGGAAGGAGGATGGAACTCGACCCTCGTGTCATACTTGAAGCTGCACACCCCACACTAAAGAATACTGTGTCCCCAAGAGCCATCACACCTGGACCCAGCCCTTGAGCAGACGGAGCCAGACACAGACAACTCCACTTGCCTCACACTACCTAGATTGTGAGGCCAGCTCTCCACTCATTGCCTTCACCTGGTGACGCCATACCGTCATTGGGCATGCTGAGCAGCAGCCTTGTAGAATTCATCCTCGATGAGTCTGGGGTCCCCAAGCTTCTAGCAACTGTCTCTTAGGGGGCACAAAAGTCCCTAGGTTATTTGATGGCCCGGGTCCCAGGGCTAGGGGAGCCTGGAGTGAGGGAAACAATCCAGGGAGGAGGAAGGGCTTCCTGGAGGTCAGGGCATTGGTGCTGGGCTTTGAAGTGAGAGGAGCCTTACCAGGCAAATGGGATGGGCAGAAGGGAAGGTGTTTAAGGCTTGATGATCTCACACCAAGCATTCAGAGAATCTGAGTTCATCTGTGAATCTCTGGACATGATCACAGTGTCTGCAAGACCCTGCCTCTAAAGACCCCCATCTACATACCTTCCTCTCCTTCTTCTGTAACGGGAGGCTGGGTTCCCCCAACAGCCGAGCAGAGCAGAGGAAAAGGGCTCGTATGACATTTCTCAAAAGGGCATAAGAAAGGCATTTTGGAAAACACCAAGTGCCGTACACACTGCCTCAATTGTAAGCTCTCCACTCAATGCCCGCACCTGGTGATGCCTTACCTTCATTGGGGCATACTGAGCAGCAGCCTTGTAGAGACCATCCCTGATGAGACTGGGGTCCCCAAGGTTCTAGCAACTGTCTCTAAGAGGACACAGAGCCACTGGGTCATATAATGATTAGGAACTCAGGATGGGGGAGGTCCGGAACTTCAGTCCTGACCATGCAGGCCCCTGTCTGTGTCCCTTCAGAGGGCAGGCTGGGTTGGGGTTGCTGTGTGGCCTTGAGTAGGACTCTCTCTCCCTCTGGGCCTTGGTTAGTCTGTCTGAAAAACGAGACGCTTGGAACAGACGAAATGTCAGCCCTCTGCCCCTCTGCCCTGGAACTCAGCGTCAGCCCTGGCTAAGCCTCAGTTTCCCCATCAGTAATCTGATCATGATGGCCAGGATGACCTTCAAGCTGTTCTCAGTCAGACAATGGGGCTTGCTGGCAAAAGGTACTGCCATCAATAATGGATGTCCATGCCCACACAATTGGGGCCTTGGCCCCGGTCATGCTGCAGCTGAACCCTGGCCAGCTTGGGTTTCACTGCTCCAAGTTCATGGTCAGGGCCTCTGGACAATGGCCCCCTGGGCCAAGTGGTGACTTGCCTGTTCAACCTGGGCTCATGCCAGAGCCCTGCCTCAGGCTTGGGCCACCTCCCTGCTCCTGCACCCTGATGCCAACCCATGGCCCAGACCTGACTCGCTTCCCACTGGGGCTCCTGGCCTCCAGTCGCAGCCTCCCCACACTGGCCTCCGAGGGGTCTTTCTTACACGTTGACCTGACCATGTCTTCTGCTCACACACTCCCTGTGGCTCCCCGGCACCCTCGGGAGAAGCTCAAATGCACCAGCCTGGAAGCTGTGCTAACAGGATGAGATAGGACTTCTCAGCCTCCCCCTCTCTGCCTCCTTCACTGACCATGCCTACCACCCCCCATTAGCACCTTAACCTTGACAAAGCATTGAGCCTGTCAAATTACAAATATCCTCCAGCAGTGAGTAGTAAGTTGTTTCTAGGTTGTAATGTGATAATATGACTAGATGTGGCTTCTCAGCACCCCCAGCTGCCTCTATCCCCTGACTGTGCCTGCGTCACCCCTGCCACCATTAGCACTTTAACCTTGATTACGAGCCTGCCAAATTGCAAATCTCCTCCAGAAATGAAGAGAAATGTGTTTCTACATCTTCCCTCCTTCCTCCCCAGACTGACCTCATGATCTCCTTCCTCGTGAAGAAGGTGCAGTCCTGTAGAGAGAGATGCCGGCTTGGCCCAGACCCTGTTTCTGGGACTCCCTTCCTCTTCCCCCAACTCTCGCCCCTCTGTGTCGGATGCTGCACCCAGAGCCACGCCAGGAACCCAGGACGCGAGGATGCTGTCCCTATTTCTCAGACCAGAGAACCGAGGCTGCCAGGCCCACCATGGGCCCGACCAGCACCCCTACCTGGTAGGCTTCCAGCTGCTCACGAGTGAAGACCGTCTGTTTGTTGCCCATGGAGAGCACCACTGCCGGGCCCATGGAATGAGTCCCCAAAGTTCCTGGGTCTCCTCAGGGCCAGACAGGCTGCCAGGCTACTGCACACCAGTGTCTCAGCAAATCTTCCTGCCCTGCCTGTCACCCGCCCACCCGCCTGTCACCCCCAGCCTGGACGAGACTCAAGTTACAGCGAGCTCTCTGGGCAACCGCCTGAGTTTGTCCCCAGCCACTGGGGCAAGGAGAAGGGCCGTGGAAGTTCACACAGCAGCCCTCAGTGGGGTACCACATCCATCACCACCAGGTGAGGCTGAGGATTTGGGACACCTTTGAGGGGCAGGCAGGGTGGCAGAGAGACTCTGGTTATATCCTGGATTAAATTCCAGTTCTCTGCTCACTAGCTGTGTGGCATTGGGCAAGTTGCTTGACCTCTCTGAGCCTTATTGGTAAGATGGAAATTTGTTAGTACCTACCTGTTATGGGGGGCTCTGGTGGTGGGGCAGTGGTTAAGCGTTTGACTGCTAACCAGAAGGTCAGCAGTTCAAATCCACCAGCTGCTCCTTGGAAACCCTGTGGAGCAGTTCTAGTCTGTCCTGTAGGGTTGCTATGAGTTAGAATCAACTTAATGACAATGGGTTTGGTTTTTTTGGATTTACCTGTTATGTACTGAATTATGTGCCCCAAAAAATATGTAATGGAATTCTAACCCCTATACCTGGAGATACAATCCCATTTGGGAATAGAGGTTTCTTTGTTATGTTAATGAGGTCATATCAGTGGAAGGTGGCTCTTAAATGTAAAGACTTTTGAGATATAAAAAGAGCAGATTAGACAACAGAGAGAAGCAAGCATAAATGGGGGAAACATGGATGCCACATGGAGATCGCCAAGCAACTAAGAAACAGAAGCTGAAAAGAGCAAGAACCTTTCCCCAGAGCCGACAAAGAGAGACCCTTCCCCTAGAACCAGTACCTTGAATTTGGACTTCCAGACTCCTGAACTGTAAGAAAATAAATTTCTGTTCTTTAAAATCACCCACTTGTGTCTCAGGGGACATGTAGGTCAATTGGCATAAATAGTTCATAAAGAAAATGTTCTACATCCTACTTTGGTGAGTAGCATCTGGGTTCTTAAAAGCATGCGAGCGGCCATCTAAGATACATCTCTTGGTCTTATCATGTTCAGAGCAAAGGAGAATGAAGAAAACCAAAGACATAAGGAAAATATTAGTCCAGAGGACTAATGGACCAGATGAACCACAGCCTTCACCAGCCTGAGCCCAGAAGAACTAGATGGTGCCTAGCTACCACCACCAACCTCCCTGACAGGGATCACAAACCAGGCACAGCGGGAGAAAAATGTAGAACAAAATTCAAATTCGCAAAAAAAGACCAGATTTACTGGTCTGACAGTGACTGGAGGACCTCCCCAAGACCATGGCCCCTAGATACTCTGCTAACTCAGAACTAAAGCCACTCCTAAAGTCCACCTTTCAGCCAAAGATTAAATAGCCCTATAAAACAAACAATAACAAAAGTGAGGAACGTGCTTCTCAGTTCAGTCAAGTATGCGAGACCAACACCTGCCCAAAAGCAAAAAAGAGAAGACAGGAAGGGACAGGAAAACTGAATGAATGGGCACAGGGAACCCAGGGTGGAAAGGGAAACGGGGAGAGTGCTGACATATTGTGGGGATTGCAACCAATGTCACAAAACAATTTGTGTATACAATTTTTGAATAAGAAACTAATCTGCGCTGTAAACTTTCACCTAAAACACAATTAAGACAAACAAAACAAAACAAAACACCATCCACTTTGTGTTACAGCAGCTCTAGGAAACTAAAACATCTCTTTTCCTTGAGTGTAGGCAGGGATCTAGCAACTTGCTTCTAACCAATAAACCAAAAAAAAAAAAAAAAAAAAGAAAAAAAAAACCCATTGCCATTGAGTTGATTCCGACTCATGGCAACCCCATGTGTGTCAGAGAAGAACTGTGCTCCCTAGGGTTTTCTTGGCTGTAGTCCTTATGGAAGCAGATCACCAGGCCCTTCTTCCACAGTGCCACTCTGTGCAATATTGAACACTTCCTCATCCATTCTACGACACACATTCCCCCCACCCACATTTTAACCCTTTCATGACTGTTGGGATACACAGTTGCCCACCCACTTTTTCCACCTCTCGGGTTCATTGGGAAGCTGCTTTCCCACTGACAGTGCATGCTGCCACAAGGCAGGGGCCTTCATGACTCTTTGAAACTGAAAAAATGGACATGTGCTTCAAATGACTGTTTCTACAAGGTATTGATTGTATGAGTTGTGTGCATTTTTGATAGGAGAAAGAAAAATTTTGAAATTTTCTCTTTGAGACACCATATGTCTCTCCGGACTTTAGGGAGTATCTGGGGTAAAATTAGTGGGACAACTTATGTCCCTCAGGACTCACAGAGTAGAATTGTTGGAGGGGGTGGGGGGAAAAAAAAAAACCCATACTACCTACCAAAAATTCAACAACACTCATTAATTCAGCATGCCTCCATTAATGAAAACACATGATACCAACACAAAATTCAAAGCAGAAAATAATTGGGTCTTGAGAGTAATATGTCTAAAATCAAAATGTGTCTCATAAGTACTGTTGGCCTGCTGTCCCTGCCTGCATATTTGCACATATTAAAAGCACCAGCTTCCAAACTCATGGGATGGAAACCAATGGCTTGGAAAAAATCCCCTAGGATGTAGGGGGTGGAAGCACATGTGGAATCACATGTGATTCTCTACATTCTGGAAGTGAGCATCCAAAGTAATCTAGCTTGATGTCATTGCAAAGCTGGCTAGAAACCCCAGCCCCAGTGGCACTCAGTTCTTTTTCAGACCTTTTTTTCCTAATAAACTTTAAATTTTGGATTAATTACAGAAGAGTTGCAGAGAGTTCCCATATACCCTTCATCCAGCTTCCCCTAATGTTAACATCTTACGTGACTGCCATATATTTGTCATAACTGAGAAGTTAACATTGTTACAATACTGTTAACTAAATTCCGGGGAGTCCCTGAATGGTGCAAACCATTAAACACTCAATTAGCCAAAAGATTGGCGGTTTGAACCAACCCAGAGGTGCCTTGGAAGACAGGTCTGACAATCTCCTTCCGAAAGGTCACAGCCTTAAAAACCTCATGGAGCACATATGAGGTCGCCATAATTGGAATCAACTCAACAGCAACTAGCAACAATGACAACTAAATTCCAGACTTTATTTGGTCTGGGATATTTCACTAGTTTTTCCAGTAATGTCCTTTTTCTCTTAGAATTCTGTCCAGGATCCAATGTCACATTTAGTTGTCAAGTCTCTTTAGTCTACTCTGGATTGTGACTGTTCTTCAGTCTTTTCTTGTTTTTGTCTTTGTGTGTGTGTTTTTTAATGAACTTGACAGTCTTGAGGAGTACTGGTCAGTAATTTTGTAATACTGTCCCACAATTTGGATTCGTTTGATGTTTTCTCATTATTAGACTAGGGAAATGAGTTTTGTCAGTGTGATGGTTAAGATTGTGTGTCAGCTTGGCTGGGCCATGATTCTCCATGTTTTAATGTTATCACTCCCACGATTGAATATACTGTGAGTAGCCAATCAGATGAAAAGGAGTCTCCTTGGGGGTGTGGCCCGCATCTGTATATAAGCAGACATTCTGGCTTTTTGCTCTCTCTGGGTCCTGTGGCTGCTTCCTGTCATCTCATCTCCCGTTCTTGGGACTTGAGCTGTCAGCTTATCTGCCGAACCTGGGATTCGTCGATCTGCACAGCCTGTGAGTGAGAGCCCTGCTCTCCGACCTTGCAATCTTGGGCTTGCCAGCTTCTGCAGCTGTGTGACTTGGGAGAGGCCTCTACCCTGATCCACGGACTTGGGACATTCTAGCCTCTACAATCACGTGAGCTGTTTCCTTGATATAATCTCTCTCTCTATATATATTTATACACTTTACTGGTTTTGCTTCTCTACAGAACCCAGCCTAAGACATTTGGTACCGGGAGTGATTCTAGAGAAAGAAAATTATAAGGATGAGTTTTCTAAATTTGTTCTCAAGTCTGGTTAGTCATAAAGACGTTGATGACTCTGCTTCCAGAGGTCACTGCTAGTCCATGGAGCGAGGTGGTGATACAAATATGCAAAATATCACCACTGGTAGATCAGGTATTGGTGAAAGGTGAGGCTCAGGGTGAACACATGTGTGATAACTTTCTACAGCTTTGTCAGAATGAGAAGTATAAGGAAGCTGGTTCATTTGTCCTACTTTCACTAGACAAACTGATGAAGGAAAGAGATGCGCTCAGGGCTTCAGAGTCAAGGCTCAAGTGCCACATACATGACCTCAAGGCTTCCACTTGTGCTTTGAAAGAAAGCCTTATTTGTTGTAGTAACATAGCCGAAATTGCTGAAAACCAAACCCAGAGTCTCATCTTAAGAGTGGCTGAATTACAACGCCAGCTCAATTGCAAACCTCGAGAGGTGTCTGAGGTTAACGTAAGGGCATTGATTGGGAAGAGATGGGATCCTGAGACTTGGGATGGGGACATATGGGCAGATAATCAGGAAGCTGGGGTCACTGAGCCTGTAAATTCCGTTGAATCACTCCT